CATAGTGTTATTCATAGACTTGGGGAAAATGAGACTTCATTGTTTAAAAACAAAATATGCATTCCTCTGAGCGAAGCATCACTCTTGCCTCCCATATCCACCACTTAAGTATCATGGGGCACCTTGGTACCTAGAACCTTCTATCAGTAGGTACATGCCTGTGAGCAGGGTCTCCTGACCACGGGGAAGAGGATGAACAAGAGAGGCCGTGCTGTGCCTCAGCTTTATAAAGTGGCAGCTCTGCAAAAGCACAAGACCCCTGCACCCCTCTCCATGGCCTGACTTGGGTAAGCCCACCAAGCCAGGCTAAGCCCCACCACAGGGCTCCCCTCTGGCCTCGGGAAGACCTGGGCTGAGCTGAGAGTGCAGAAGTGTGGTCCTAGCCACAGGCAGGTGCCCAGGGGCACTGGGGTGGGTATGAGGGAGCTGGAGGGAGGTTTGGAGCTCCAGAAGGCTCTTAAGGAGTCCCCTTCGGCCCCAGGCTGAGGAACTAGAATAACTCTCAGTCCTCGGATGAGGCCCACAGGAGCCGGGAAAGGCAAGAAGCAATGTGGTGGCCAAGCCCTCCCCCTGCTGGCCACATCTGGAGCAGCAGCGCCAGCCACACAGGGCAGAGCCCCAAGGCAGTTACACACACACTCAGCACGGGGACCTGGTCAGGTTCAGGTGTCCAGAGTCAGGGGCTGGAGTGGGGCCCTTCCAGGACTGAGAGGCCCAAGGTTCCATCTCCCAGGTCCTCCGTCTTCACCAGGTAGGGCATCTCCTAGCCCATCCTCCGTGAGCCCAGCCATGAAGAGATGAAAATCAGGGGTATGGGGGGAAGGGGGGAGAAAGATAGGGAGTGGGGTCCTCCACATTCCTGCCTCTGTCTCACTCCCCCCCCCATGCCTCTTGGGCAGCTGGGAGAAACTGGGGCTGCTACCACTGCCCGGATTTCCACTCCCACCCCCAGGTATTGATTTCCTGCATCATTCATTTGCTGGGCCTTGGCGGCTGTGATTAGCTCCCTCCATTCTCCCTACGGATCCACCCCCCCCACCCCCCCCCCCAACCCTCCATGTTCCACCAAAGCAGAGCTAATACCAAGCTCTAAATGAGGCTTTGCCACCCTGGCCCCAACAGCTCACAGACTGGCCTGGCCAAGTAGCTCTTGTCTATCCCCAGCCAGCCCCGTTAAGGGTGCCTTCCTGGCTAATAAAATCCCATTAACCCATCTCCTCCCCTCACCCCTAGAAGCCCCATCTACCCGTGAAGCATAGATTCCCAGCCTGTGGAATGGGCAGGGACATGGTAAGGATCTTGAGCCCAAGAGGGGCTCTCTAGTCTGACACCGAGAGCCTGGGGGAGCCCTCAGGCTGGCTCAGGGGCCGCTCAGGCTGGCTCAAGGGCCGACATCAACTCAGGCAAAGGGGACCATGCTGGCAAAGCAAACAAAGCAGCTTGGGTTTGCAGACACAAGCTGCGCTCTCGCCCTCGTGCAATTTCAATAACCGAGAAGGAAGAAAGGACAGAGACACGGACCTTCTTGAGGACATTTCGAGAACGCTGAGCCATCTGTTAATCCTAGGAAACCAAAGTTTTCAGATGCCATGCCCTCTCCAGAGCAAGAGTCAGATGTGGAAAGCAATTTCAAGGCATGGGGTGAAAACTCCAGGGGAAATCCTAAGTGCCAGAACCCACCCAGATCATCACCCAGGAGATGGCACTGGGAGACTCACTTCCTGAAATTTCTTCTCTGTGCTCCCCCGAGGAGGGAAAAAAACCTGACTTGGTGATAATTCTGTAAGCTATGTTGCTCTTGTCAAATTATTCAACATCTGTCTTCATGTTCCTACAAAAATTAGCATAGGATAGTAGTTTCTGATGACACCTTTGGTGAAATATTTTGACTTCCACCAGTAAGTTGCAAACAACCTGTCTTAAGGATAATGTCAATTCCCACTTCTGCATATTAAATAATCCAGGGGTTTGTTGTGTTTTTGTAAGGGAGAGGAATCCCACCAGCCTGCCTGTGGCTGGAAGGCTGGCCGCTATGAGAGGAGGGGAAGCCAGCGCAGAAGATGGGGTGTTCTCTGCACTACCTGCCCACAAGACATTACTCCTCCATCACCTGGCTACTGCCTCTACCCCAGAACTAGGCCTGTGGGGCCAGCTCAGGCCCCTGGCTTTTCAGAAAGCAGATTACAGGATCCACCCCAGAGGACAACAAACTGGGCCAGGAGATTGGGAGGCGAGGAGGGAGGGGGAACCGGCTCCAAATGGACCATCTGGTCCAGCACTTCGCTGTTGTAGCATCTGTGCCCCCAAAGAAAAACAAAGCCACCTGGCCAGGCTGAGAGTGCCTCCGAAGCATTGCAGACTGGATCTTAGAACAGGCCATGGACACCAGCAGGAAGCAGGGCTTAGGGCTCCAGACGCTATCAGCCTCAGCAGAGACATGCAGCCCAGACCAAATGCTGGGGTTCGCCCTCCACCGCCTGCTCATTCCCACCTCAGTTCAGCCTCAGCATTAATCTGCCTCTCCCTCAGCCACACAGGTGGGGACAGGGGGATGGGGGAGTTTCCCTCTCCAGGGTACACATTTTTTCCTTCGCCTTGAGTAAAACCTACTGCCTTCCTGCCCACTGCCAGGGTGACACTGTGCTTCCAACCCCTTCTTTCTTCTTGGGCTGCCAGCCCAGGACACCCTGACTCTCCCTAAGCAGAGAGCCTTAAAGAAGGCCTCACTGCCCGCTGAAAACCAAATCCTGGAGAGACTTCTTGAGGACAAAGAATTTCAGAATGACTTTTCTCAGTGTTCCCCAACCAGGGTCCTTCATCCACTCAACAAACACCTGCCAGGCGTCAAGATGGATGCTGGATACAAGGTTTGATTGGCCATCTCTGGTCCCTACATGCCACCCTCACTTTCTCAGGCTGCTCCGTCTGCTTTGGGAGCACAAAAAAATGAAGGGCCGGTGAGGGAGAAGAACTAATCCCAGTTCTCCCTCTTACCTCCTAAATCAGTCCCACCCCTACAAAGATGTGCCTTTAACTGTCCAAAGCTTCTCCATCATGAGGAACCAGCGGCGAGGCCGTCCTCCTCCTCCTCATTCCTCATACTAAATCTCCCCCAGGCTCCCTTCACCTCAGTGAACTGCCCACCCTGCAGTTCCCCCAAGCCCCAACATTCCCTGAAGTCAAGTTCTCCAAGGAAAGGTAGAAAAGAATGTCACCCAAGAGCCAGGGGGTGGCCCCAGCATGCCCAGCCCTCTGTGATTTACTCTGAACAAAGAGGAAGGGAGAGGATGCAGGAGAAAAAGGTGCAGACATGCCTGTGCCAATCCTGGCCCCAGAGTACTCTGAAGTGAGGGTCCCTGAAGACCCCCGCCCCTGGCCCCCAACCCTGCCCTTGCTGCTGGGGTTTCTAGACTAAGCCCAGAGGATCCTCCTTGGGTCAGGCCTGGTGCAGCCTGCAGAAGGCTGGAGAGGCTGGAGGGTACAGAGACGGGCTTGCCAAATCTGCCCAAGGGCAGGTGGAGGGAGGGCTGGAGTGGAGTTCAGCATGAGGCAGGGGTCTCCATCACTCTCCGCAGTCCCCAGGGTTGGTGAAGAGGGGAAAAGACCTCACAGCATCCCTTGCAGGACACCTCTAAGGAAGCAGTGGAGCTGTAGGGAAACCATGGGGAGAGAGAAGGAAAAACCCCAGAATTCTGTCTTCATCTGCCCTGGGAGGCGGAGGCCTCCAAGACCAGCCCAATGGCCTCCTCACAACCAGCCTCTCCGGATCCCTACTGCTTTCTTCCTCCTCCCTGTCTTCTGGCCTGTGTGAGGGGCCAGGCAGCAAGAAACACACAAACTAATTAAGAAGCAGAGTTTGGCCAGATGCCTGGGCCAGCCTCGCCAGAGAATTAAGCTCAAGCCAGCTAGCTGGGTAGGGCCAGGAGCATGTCACCTCCCAGACACCCCTCAGGACACCCCTTCCTCTTGTCAGGCACAGGCAGGCAGACCAAGAACCCTCGGGAAGGAAGGATTTAGCATTAGCACCTGAGGCTGGCAGTCAAGGGACAATGCTTCTGCCACCCCACACAGAACAGGTCAAACTCTCCCCCGATCTAAAAGGGAATAATTAGGCCCAGAGAAGAGGAAAGAGAGAATCGTGCCCACCCCAGCTTCACATCGTTTAAAAGGGACCTACCAAAACCACCCTGCGGTCGGGAGAAGGGGAAGTGGGGGCCACTGGGCCCGGTGAGACCGCCTTTCTGTGCTGCGGGGGTCGAGGCACCGCAGGAGGGATGAGCCCAGGTGACCCTGAACAGACGAGGCCTGCCTTTGGGGCCATCCCCGGGAAAACCCATGAGGATGGGAGGGTGAAGGGGTAACTGAGGGAGGTGTGGGGACACGGAGCAAAGCAGGAGACAGAGTTTGGACACGCAGCCCAACGGGCGTGTGCCGCGTTTGCTTTCCCGGGGATGGTGGCTGAATGTGCCTGTGCACCTACAGAGAGAAGCAAGGTGGGGCTGGGTTTTGTGGCAGGAAACCAGGAAAGCTCCGGAACGG